GACGACGCTGGCCCGACCCTCCGCCGTGTACATCATCTCTCGCACGTGCTGCAGTTCAATCGCACGACTCTTGTCGCCGATCTCGTAGCAAGCCAAAATGACCTTGTAGAGATCGATGACCAGCCGCTCGTTGGTCGGTGCGAGGTCAGGGACGGTTGAAGTCACCACGTCCGACATCTGGATCGAGAGTTGAGGACAATCCATGGCCGCGTACTTCCAGGTCGCGTGTTGCAGCGCCGCTTCGTTCGCGACGCCGTCTTCAAATTGGTCCATCGCTGCAAAAGCCTCGTCACCGATCGCAGCGCGGGTGTCAGCCTCGTCTTGGGGCGTCAAGGGTGCGGAGCCAATGCTCGCAGCGTACACGAGCTGCGGGTGACCGTCAGCGTCGCAACCAAACTGTAGCGCGACAGCCGCAAACCGGAACGGATCACCACTTTGCGCGCCAAAGAGCTTGACGCCGATCGTCATGCGCATGGTAGTGTACGCGACGAGGTAGCCCGACAGACGCTCGGCCATCTGCGTCAGCGACCGGTGCTTGTGATCCAGCTCTAGAATCATGCACGGTGCGCCATCCTCACGAAGCACAAGCAAATCGGGTCGGCGCACGTGTCCGCCGCCCGCGTAAAGACCCCAACCGATATACGTTCGCAAGGTCGCAGTTTGCTGGCGATACAGCTGTCCCAACATCTTGCTAACGCCCGCTTGGTGCTTCCAACCGAGATTGCCAACAATGAAGATCGACACGCGCGTCGACGGATCCTTCGGGTTGCAGCGTCGGTCGTACGTGCCCTCAAGGCACACGCCAAAGTGTCGTCCGTCCAAGCCAGAGGCAAGCCACTTGCGTAGCCGCACGTTTGTGGCAATGAGCAGCGGAGGCCTGGCCGTCTTGCTTGCATTAAATAGCTTGGCCACTGCCGCGAGGCCCTTGGACGTGATGGCTCCGTCCATGATGACAGGGCTGGCCATGGCAGTCTCGGAAGTGGTACTCGGGCGCCGCTTGTTGGCAAGCAAAGTTGGTGGTTGCGCTGCGGTTTGAAAGTGTGGAGAGTACGGTACAATGTAGAGCTTGGAATGGAATTTGGGTTTCTCTTGGGACGGTGCGCTGATGGGACAGGTCAACGGTTGAACGAAGTGACAAGAAAGGACTCTATGGACAGCGCGACGGGTTGTGTGTTTGAGCAGGAACGGTGGGAATGTCGATCTGCATCGTGATTCAAAGTTGGTTCTGCAGCGCCCAGTGCCTTTGGTATTTTGTTTGTTGTTGAAAGTGGTGGACAACTCGTGTTTCGGGGACGGTTGGACAAGTTGACGCGTAGCGACTTGGGAGCGCTGTGACGACGGATCGCTGGGTCGCAGCGTCGGTCGTACTATGTACCACCACGCTGTGCACGTTTGGAGAGGCAGGCGCGCTACTTTGCTACTCCATAGAGCAAACGAACTGTGCCCTCCATCCACGTGCGACGACAAGAACATGAGATATTAGAGTAAATCCGTTCTTATGCAGGAGCACGAGTGCTTCAAACGATCGCAAGCGACCAAAGGCGGACGTCCTTAGTCGAGCGCCGTCGCAAACGCAGGCCAGCAGCTTGTGCCAGCGCACTGC